AATTTTGTTATCATTTTTATACTTATCTATTGTGATGAAGGGAAAATATAAAATCATCATAGTACATTTATTTAATGGAATATTCGCAACTATTAAATAACATTTTTGAAGAATTTATATTAATATAAAATACTTATGTTAATATAGTTAAAAGAAAAACAAAACAGTATTTAGCATTGTTTGTAAAACCAAAACCTAAAGCAAGAAAACTTATTCAGAATAAAGACTGAAAAGAAATATTCAAAAGGCCAGGCACAGTGGCTCCCAGCTGTTGGGAACCGGCCCCCCAAAATCTGGCCATAAACTGGCCCCAAAACTGGCCATAGACAAAATCTCTGCAGCACTGTGACATGTTCATGATGGCCATGATGCCCACGCTGGAAGGTTGTGGGTTTACTGGAATGAGGGTAAGGAACACCTGGCCCACCCAGGGTGGAAAACCGCTTAAAGGCATTCTTAAACCACAAACAATAGCATAAACGATCTGTGCCTTAAGGACAAGCTCCTGCTGCAGATAACCAGCCAAACCCATCCCTTTATTTCATCCCATCCTTTTATTTCCCACAAGGAATACTTTTAATCTATAATCTATAGAAACAATGCTTATCACTGGTTTGCTGTCAATAAATAATGTGGGTAAATCTCTGAGGCTCTCAGCTCTGAAGGCTGTGAGACCCCTGATTTCCCAATCCACACCTCTATATTTCTGCGTGTGTGTCTTTAATTCCTCTAGTGCCGCTGGCTTAGGGTCTCCCCGACCGAGCTGGTCTCGGCACTAGCACTTTGGGAGGCTGATGCGGGCAGATCATGAACTCAGGAGTTCAAGACCAGCCTGGCCAACATGGTGAAATCCTGTGTCTACTAAAAATACAAAAATTAGCCAGGCGTGGTGGCGGGCACCTGTAAACCTAGCTACTTAGGAGGCTGAGGCAGGAGAATCACTTGAAACTGGAAGGCGGAGGTTGCAGTGAGCTGAGATCGTACCACTGCACTCCAGCCTGGGCAACAGGAGTGAAAGTCGGTCTCAAAAAAAAAAAAAAAAAAAGGAATATCGAAAAAATTTATCTTGGTATCTTTTCTGAAATTTCTAAGTTTTTAAAATAAATATGAATACATATGGATAAAAGAAAAATATAACTCAAAAAAATGGAAGCAGGGGCATAATTATATAAGAAAGATGACTCAGTAAAAACTGTCAAATCTTAATTTAAATAGGCAATTTCCTTAGGTATCTGGAGATCACACATAAAGGCTGAGTTGTGCTGCATGCCCATTAGGATGTTTTTCACATCCAAAGTTATATCAGAAGAAATAACTGTACTTTTAAAATTTTTCTGATATAGGAATACTTTAATACACCCTTTAATTTTATATAAATATGACCTATGTCCCAGGTTTAATGAAATAGGTTAAAAAAACAGTAACCAAAACTTTGCCAAATAAAATAAGTGAACAATTTCATTAGCTTGAAACTCTGTTCTGACATGACTGATTTGGAGGCTTTACTTAAGTAATGCTGGATATAGGATTTAGGGGTCCCTTGTAACTTGGCAAGAAAGAGGAGGGAAAAATGAGTAAAGAGCTTACCTTTTTATTTCTTAAAAAAAAAGTACATAGTTACAAAACAAAACACAGAAGTCCAAAACCACTTTCTTTTTAGGGGGGAAGCTGTATTAGTCTGTTTTCCTGCTGCTGATAAAGACATACCTGAGACTGTGAAGAAAAAGAGGTTTAATTGGACTTACAGTTCTGCACGGCTGGGGAGGCCTCCAAATCATGGTGGGAGGCAAAAGGCACTTCTTACATGGTGGCAGCAAGAGAAAACGAGGAGGAAGCAAAAAAGAAACCTCTGATAAATCTACCAGATCTCGTGAGACTTACTCACTATCATGAGACTAGCATGGGGAAGGACTGGCCCCCATGATTCAATTACCTTCCCCACGTCACTCCCACAACACATGGGAATACTGGGAGATAGAATTCAAGCTGAGATTTGGGTGGGAACACAGCCAAATCATATAATTCCACTACTGGCCCCTCCAAATCTCATGTCCTCACATTGCGAAACCAATCATGCCTTCCCAACGGTCCCCCAAAGTCTTAACTCATTCCAGCATTAATCCAAAAGTCCACAGTCCAAAGTCTCATCTGAGACAAGGCAAGTTCCTTTCACTTATGAGCCTGTAAAATCAAAAGCAAGCTAGTTACTTCCTAGATACAATGAGGGTACAGACATTGGGTAAATGCAACCGTTCCAAATTGGAGAAACTGGCCAAAACAAAGGGGTTATAGAGTCCATGCAAGTCCGAAATCCAGCAGGGCAGTTAAATCTTAAGGCTCCAAAATGATCTCCTTTGACTCTGGGTCTCACATCTAGGTCATGCTGATGCAAGAGGTGCATTCCCATGGTCTTGGGCAGCTCCCACCCTGTGGCTTTGCAGGGTACAGCCTCCTTCCCAGTTACTTTCACAGGCTGGTATTGAGTGTTTGTGACTTTTCCAGGTGAATGGTGAAAGCTGTTGGTGGATCTACCATTCTGGGGTCTGGAGGACCGTGGCCCTCTTCTCACAGCTTCACTAGGCAGTACCCCAGTAGGGACTCTGTGTGGGGGCTCCAACACCACTTTTCCCTTCTGCACTGCCCTAGCAGAGGTTCTCCATGAGTATCCCATCCCTGCAGCAAATTTCTTCCTGGGCATCCAGGAGTTTCCATACATCTTCTGAAATCTAGGCAGAGGTTTCCAACCTCCAATTCTTGACTTCTGTACACTTGCAGGCTCAACACCATGTGGAAGCTGCCAAGGCTTGGGGCTTACCCCCTCTGAAGCCACGACCTGAGCTCTTCATTGGCCCTTTTTAGCCACATCTGGAGCAGCTGGGACGCAGGGCACCAAGTCCCTAGGCTGCACCAAGCAGGGGGTCCCTGGGCCTGTGAAACCATCTTCTCCTAGGCCTCCAGCCTGTGATGGGAGGAACTGCAATGAAGACCTCTGACATGCCTTGGAGACAATTTCCTCATTGTCTTAGGGATTAACTTTCGCTTCTGGTTGCTTATGCAAATTTCTGTAGCAGGCTTGAATTTCTCCTCAGAAAATGGGCTTTTCTTTTCTATCACATTGTCAGGTTGCAAATTTTCCAGACTTTTATGCTCTGCTTCCCTGATAAAACTGAATGCCTTTAATAGCACCCAAGTTACCTATTGAATGCTTTGCTGCTTAGAAATTTCTTCTGCCAAATACCCTAAATCATCTTTCTCAAGTTCAAAGTTCCAAAAATCTCTAGGGCAGGGGCAAATTGCCACCAGTCTCTTTGCTAAAACGTGACAAGAGTCACCTTTGCTCCAGCTCCCAACAACTTTTTGTCTCCATCTGAGACCACCTCAGCCTGAACCTTATTGTCCATGTTGCTACCAACATTTTGGGTAAAGCCATTCAACAAGTCTGTAGGAAGTTCCAAACTTTCCCACATTTTCCTGTCTTCTTCTGAACCCTCCAAACTGTTCCACCCTCTGCCTTTTACCCAGTTCCAAAGTGGCTTCCACAATTTCAGGGATCTTTTCAGCAACCCCCCACTCTACTGGCACCAATTTACTGTATTAGTCCATTTTCCTGCTGCTGATAAAGACATACCTGAGACTGTGAAGAAAAAGAGTTTTAATTGGACTTACAGTTCCACATGGCTGGGGAGGCCTCAGAATCATGGTAGGAGGCGAAAGGCACTTCTCACTTGGTGGCAGCAAGAGAAAACGAGGAAGAAGCAAAAGTGGAAACCCCTGATAAACCCGTCAGATCCCATGAGACCTATTCACTATTGCGAGAATAGCTGGGAAAGACTGGCCTGTGTGATTCAATTACCTCCCACTGGGTCCTTCCCACAACACACACGAATTCTAGGAGATATAATTCAAGTTGAGATTTGGGTGGGGACACAGCTAAACCATATCAGAAGCTTAGCCACGTGGTGACAGATCCAAACTTAAGATGGCCAGGAAGCAATTCCTTGTGATCTGGGATGGTTTTCGCATTGCCTCCTCCCATTGTAAATTAGATAAGATTTTTATGCCAATAAATCTAGGGAATAGCGGTATATCTGTTTAGGTGAATTTTTTGGAAATCCTTACAGTATGGAGTGAGATGAAGTTACAAATTAGCTTCTGGAGTTACAATAAAAAAGCTGAATAGCTTCTACATTTCTATTGTATGATTTAAACATTTCTGAATTTGTTGTAAATTTCAAAATGCTACCCACATTTACAATAACATCTAAATTCCAATTTCAGAGCAAAATACAATTATTTCTAGATTAGTTGTACATTAAAACTTGTTTTTTCTTTACTTATTAATATAACAAAAACAAATGACATAATATCTATAAAACCCTTATAATGAGGTCTAGAAATTTGTATTCTATTATTATTATTGTTAATAATCAAGACTTAATGTAGCCTGAGTTCTTTCTACTGTACTACATATAAGACGACATGATAGGATGAAAAAAGGTCTGGACCAAGTCATTAGAATATATTTGGAGAAAGGATCTCAGCAGTATATAGTAATAGATTGAAAATGTGGTAAGACATGTCTTCAAGACTTCTGATTGGTTATGTAAGTCACAATAATGGGTCTCATATAATTAGGTCTTTAGGGCATTATTCTTGAAATTTCTAAAAGTTTTGAATATATTTTGCCTGAAGCAATTTAAAGTTATGACTTAGAAATTTGCAGAAGCCCCGGAGAGCAAGAAATATTTAAATTGCCTCCCTGGGCCCAAGGAAGATTCTTCAGAGAATTTACTGGGTCTTCTCAATGGGACAATGTTTCCACCTGGGCTTCAAGGGCAAATGAAATGTGCCATATTCACAAAATGAACTGCCCAGTATTTTCTTCTCTTACTTTTGAACTAGCAGAACCAAATTACTCTCCCTTTGTAAATGTATCTGATGTAATGTATGCGGTTTTGAAACAATTTAGAAATAATACCTTTGTTATCAATGTTTTACAGATAATATACCCTGTGTCATTATGGCTTCCAAACAGTAATCCGTTCTTCAGAAATTCATCAGCTTCACAGAAAATTTTGTTGAACAGCCTAAAAATAGAAGATCAAGGCAAAACAATCTGCTGTGCATTGCAACCTAGGAAGTGAGCTGACCTTCCATTTAGAGGTAATTGCTGAAGCCATACTACTAACACAAATCTAAGGGGGTGGGGTGGGGGGTGGTTAGCCTTATGAAATGAATTGAAATAAGCCATGTCTTTTGAAAATGTGATATTTCTTATTAGAGAAAGTGTACAGGAAGTCTAAAAAATCCATGAGGATTGTCTCAGATATAGTTAGAAAATTGAAGAAAAGAAAAAATATTACTAAAAGACTACTTGCATATCCAAAGTCATCTGAGCATTCAAAACAGATGATGTTTAGGTGTATAGTTGTTTTCATGAACAGTCCTACTGCGGAATAGTTTATAATTTCTAACTGGGAATAATGATTCATTGATCAAAATATAGTTTTGTGGTCCTCACTTTATTACAAGCACACAGATATGTATCTAACGGTACCATCTCTCTTCTGCTGCTCAATAGGCTGCCAATCTGTACTCTTGATCCAGAATGCAAAGAAGTCTGTTACCACCAAAATTCTGATTCTGTGGCCATTTAAATCACAGCACCAATTCAGTTTGATTTTATTCAGTTTAGCAAATGTTCATCCAATACTAACCATAAGTAGAAAATGTCTAGCATAGTCCCTGTCCCAGAACCTCTTACTAGGCATACTATTTGAAACACAAATACTTTATTACTTGTTCTTGAATATATCTTTGAATTTGTGAAAAATGTAAATGAAGAGGAGCAATGAGTCTTTAGTTAATAGGAAGAATTTTGACTTGCTTGCCTGAGTATTTTGGAGAAGTTTGAATATTTTTAATTTTTTTGTTGCTGGTAATGCATTTGTATGGTGACTTTAGATGTAACATTTGTGAGATACACACAGACATTTAGATTTTAGATGAATGAATAGAAATAGCCTCTATTTAAAAATGTCACCCTATACGCTCCTTGTTTTAAACTGCAATGGACTTTTGTTATAATGGTATAACACTGTTCCCTGCAACGTGAGTAGACTTTGGTAAAATGTGCATCCATCTCATATCATGGATGTGATTTAAAAAAATAGGTTGAGTTAGATGAAAGGAGACTTGATACCTGAGAAAGTGTGATTGATGAAATTCCGAAGATACTTGTGCAGCGGTTGATACTGACGACAGAGATATAAAAGAATATTTGAGAGAAGAACAAGTCAGTAGAAGATAAAAAGAAACAAAAATAGTGCTTACTACATGCTATGTACTTTACATGCATTGCCTATTTATTCTCCCGAGAACCCCATTATAAGCCTATTAAGACCCCCATGTCATAGATGAAGATAGTGAGATTCAGAGAATTTATAAATTGCCCATGGTCACAGCTAGTAACTCACCAAGATAGGACTTAAGCACTTGTCCTCTCTATTAGACAAAGTGGACTTGACACAGTAATAGCTGCATTGTGGCAGTGGTTGGAAGAATGTTTCTTACCATGAAATTGCTTCTCAGTCACAATTTAATGGGGAATTGGAATTGAGGTAGCTTTATTTATAACATAGCATTTAAAAAGTGAATCTAGGATTTAGATAAAAAAGGATGTATATCTAGGGTATAAAAGAATCTCAAAGTGTAAAAAGTGGAGTTGATGGAAATAAGGGGCAAAATAGGCTGAAAGGAGAAATACCCTTATAATGGCCAAAGGCAGATCTGGTTAGTTAGATGATGGTTGAAATAGGTTCAAAGAACTCAATTTAGATCTTAAACTTGTGCCAAGGTTTGTGAATAAAGAAAAATGGCCTATGTGTTAAGTGCCTGGTTTGTTTTCAGAAGTTACTTTTGTTTTGTGAACTAAGTGGAGCATTTTCATCAATGGACAATGATACTACTGGAAATTTGTTTGTGTAGAGGGATGGTGGGGTTGGGAGAAATGACTGTTCCTGAGGAAAAATTAAGAGATAGCTTGAGACTTTCTGAGGCAAGGTTAAGCAAAATCCACCATTCCCAATTCCCAGGGAAGGGCTATTTTCCAGTGGATTTTTTCCTGCAGTGTTACCCAAAGTGAGATGTGCTGTCAGAACATGTCTCTTTAGTCATAGGCTTTCTTTGCATCATGTTCAATGGGACTTAGGCAGCAACCAATTAAAATGGCAACTAAAAGGTGTTTCCATTAGAGAATGAGAAGACAAACCAGCTACTGGGAGACAATATATGCAAGTCACATGATAAATAATTCCTATCCAAAATATATAAAGAACTCTCAAAACTCAACAAGAAAAAATAAACCTCAATTAAAAATAAGCAGTAGAACCAGCAGGGTGGTGCATGCCTGTAGTTGTGTGTTCTGGTTAAGTTGGTGGTTATATGAATCTATAGTCCCAGCTACTCAGGATGCTGAGGAGGGAGAATGGCTTGAGGCCAGGTGTTTGAGGACGACCTGGGAGAAACAGCGAGACCCCATTTTGTTAACAAAAAAAGGGGACAAAAGATATGAATGGATACATTACTAAAGAATGGAAAAAATATAGAAAGAGGTTCAACATCATTCATCATCAAGGAAATGTAAAATAAAATCATAATTAAATACGAATATGTGTCTATTAGAATGAATAAATAATTACTGACAATATTAAATGATGATATGGAAAGCAAGGGACGCTCTCATACGTTGTTGGTCGAAATACAAAACTGGTACAGCCACTCTGGAAAACTGTTCGGCAGCTTCTTATACATTTAAGCATGCTTATTATCTCATTCCTGGATATTTATTCTAAAAAAAAAAAAAAAGCTTTTGGTCATACAAAAATTGAGGCAGAAATATTTATAGTAGCTCTTTTCTTAATTGCCAGAAACTGGAAACAATCCAAATGTCCTTCAAAAGGTGAACAGATAGGCAAAATACAGTAATCTACTCAATAGAATACTATTTAGCAGTAACAATTTGAATGGATCTCAGAGGCTTTAAGTGAAAGAAACCCAACTCCCGTGGCAGTGGCTCATATGATTCTATTTATATGACATTCTGGTAAAGGTAAAACTATAGGGATAGAAAATATCAGTGGTTGTCAGGATGTATAGGTAGGTGGAAGAGGTGACTAAGAAAAGAATATCACAAAGAAGTGTTTTGGGGTAACAGAAGAGTTCTGTGTTCTGGTTATGGCCGTGGTTTTATGAATCTATACGTGTTTTAAAATTCATAGAACCACACACTAAAAGATAAAAAGTCAATTTATGGTATGACATCTAACTGTATGATAATTTTAAAAAACAACAAAAAAATTCCACCCCTAACCAAAGAAAAAGGTGTTTGCACTTTAACACTAAGATTTTGGATTATTGGGCTTTACGTGAATTGGTCGTGTTCTCTGGATAATCAGGAACACAGTAATCACTGGTTGGGTTCATTTCTGATGATTCTACCTCCAGATTGACACACTTCTTTCAGTGTTGGAATACACATGGGTTATTTTTGAGTTCTCCTGACCTGGGAGTGAGGTTTTAAAGTAAATTACCAAATCTCTTATGCAATATACTCTGTATTGCTTTTATAATTCACTAAAAAACCTCAGGCAAGTATGGGTCACAAGCAGGTAGTCTTGTGCTGTGCTAGGCTGTGCTGCACATTAGTTATGTGATTTTAGGCTGAACTCTCTCTCACTTAAGGTTTTCTTATCTTTCAAACGATAATGTGGAGTTTAAAGGAAGCAACATGTGAAAAAAAAATCACAAAGTTCCTGGCCAAGAATGAGTGATCAATATCACAAGCTTTCCCCTCTTATTTCTCTACCTGCATTGTTCATTCTTTTCATTCCCTTTCCCTATATTCCTTCCTCCTCTTCCCTATTTTCTCTCTTTCTTCAATACTTTTATTGGGTTCATGGCAAATTTTTATATTTGTATATTGGTATACTTGCATTTACCATGTAAATAAATTATATTAAAAAATTTTTTTTGACTTCTTACAGGTAAAAGAGAGACATTTAAATGGAATGGGAAAACCAAACCATTCTGGTGGAATTTTTTCTGAAGGGACTTTCTGGTTACCCAAGGCTTGAGTTACTCTTTTTTGTGCTAATATTCTTAATGTATGTGGTCATCCTTCTAGGCAATGGTACTCTCATTTTAATCAGCATCTTGGACCCTCACCTTCACACCCCTATGTACTTCTTTCTGGGGAACCTCTCCTTCTTGGACATCTGCTACACCACCACCTCTATTCCCTCCACCTTGGTGAGCTTCCTTTCAGAAAGAAAGACCATTTCCCTTTCTGGCTGTGCAGTGCAGATGTTCCTTGGCTTGGCCATGGGGACAACAGAATGTGTGCTCCTGGGCATGATGGCCTTTGACCGCTATGTGGCTATCTGCAACCCTCTGAGATATCCCATCATCATGAGCAAGGATGCCTATGTACCCATGGCTGTTGGGTCCTGGTTTGCAGGGATTGTCAACTCTGCAGTACAAACTACATTTGTAGTACAATTGCCTTTCTGCAGGAATAATGTCATCAATCATTTCTCCTGTGAAATTCTAGCTGTCATGAAGATGGCCTGTGCTGACATCTCAGGCAATGAGTTCATCATGCTTGTGGCCACAATATTGTTCACATTGATGCCACTGCTCTTGATTATTATCTCTTACTCATTAATCATTTCCAGCATCCTCAAGATTCACTCCTCTGAGGGGAGAAGCAAAGCTTTCTCTACCTGCTCAGCCCATCTGACTATGGTCATAATATTCTATGGGACCATCCTCTCCATGTACATGAAGCCCAAGTCTAAGGAGACATTTAATTCAGACTACTTGGAAGCTACCGACAAAATTATATCCATGTTCTATGGGGTGATGACTCCCATGATGAATCCTTTAATCTACAGTCTTAGAAACAAAGATGTGAAGGAGGCAGTGAAACACCTACTGAACAGAAGGTTCTTTAGCAAGTGAGTGCAAAATATACTGGAATATGAACACACTCGATATTGTTGAAACTTCAGAACTATGTTAGAATTTTGGATACTTTTACTGTTTTTCTGCATTTTCATATGTTGTGTTAAAATAATGAGATACAGCATTTCAAAATTATTGCATATCCACTCTAGAGAATTTGCAACATACAGGGTAGTAGGATAAAGAAGAAAGAGAGGTTACCTATTACTCTAATAGTAGGAAATGGCCACTTTTCAACATTTTGAACAGTATCTTTCATATTATGTTTTATATTTCTGCATTGGAATTGGTTGCGATGTGCCTTTTTATGTTCACTTTTTTACATTACGTTATTTCATAGGCAACATTTCATTGAATCTTTCAAAATAAGCCATCTGTTGTAGAAAAAGCAAAACAGAAAATGCCCAACATACTGCACTCACACTTTCCAGTGGCACGCCTTGTGTTATAATTTCACATTAATCTTCAGATCCTGTTGAGTCATAAAATACTATTTTCTTGTTCTGTATTTAATATTTTTTTTTTTGTGAAGCTGAGTATTTGGGACTATCAAGGCAGAGTAGATAAATAGAGTTTAAAAGTAAGGCCTGCTGCAATCACTCAGGATATCCTGCTTTATGGTCTTTCTTTGCTTTAACTTATAAGTTGGCTTTTGCATAAAGAACATTTTGCAAAATTAAAAATGGGTTTGAAAATCAGTCTGCTGGTCCAGATAATAACGTGGACTAGTTTTGGGTTGAATGGAGTGTCCTATCAATGCCCATTTAGAAGATGCCAGATTTCTTTGCTATCCCAAGGAAATTCCAACATTTTTCCAAGTCTTAGAAGAATGTCCAAGTTTTGAATTTTTAGTACGAATACTATTCATGTCTTGTCTCTGTTACTAACCAGGTTGATTTGAGGAAGAAGAGGATTTGGGACTGTCAGACACTATTTTGTTTTTCCTTGTTTTTTATGTCAACTTTTTACTCTATGTGAAGAACATTTTAAATTTACAGCCCAAGATGAATGACAGAGTGTGCTCAGGAGTGAACCACATTCTAGGTAATCAGTTTGGCTGAATCAATTTTTATTAATGGACCAGCAAATGTAGATTATATCGGGCATGAACATGTTTTACACAGACAAATAAGAATTACCTGCTTGTAGAATCTTTTGGGTTTAGTCACTCATTTAATCTTCCCAAGTTCACTTGTTAATTTTAGTGGAAGGAATATTAAACAGTCACAAACTATATTTAAATATATCCATCATAGTTGTTTACAGATTAAATCTGATGGCAAGAGTTGAGATCATTGATAATTAAATTTACATCCTGACAAAATAGGCTATGAGAATCTATTAGTTCCCATACACCAGTTCATTGGACTTTTTGCACCCACTAAGAATTCCCGGTCGGAAGAAAACCCTGGCAGTCAGGCATTTTATGTTTGACCCCCAGGCAGGTTGTCTTGAATGCTCAAATTCTAATGTTGTTTTCCTTCACAGCTTAAATCCAGCCAGTTTCATAAATTCTCTGGGGTGACTGAGGTAGCTCCACAGTCTTATATCAGATTTATACCTTTTTTAAAATTATACTTTAAGTTCTAGGGTACATGTGCTCAACGTGCAGGTTTGTCACATGGGTATACATGTGCCATGTTGATTTGCTGTTCCCATCGACTCATCATTTACATTAGGTATTTCTCCTAATGCTATCCCTCTCCCAAGACCCCACCCCCTGACAGGCCCTGGTGTGTGATGTTCCCCGCCCTGTGTCCAGGTGTCCTCATTGTTCAATTCCTACCTATGAGTGAGAACATGTGGTGTTTGGTTTCCTGTCCTTGTGACAGTTTGCTGAGAATGATAGTTTGCAGCTTCATCCATGTCCCTGCAAAGGACATGAACTCATCCTTTTTTATGGCTGCATAGTATTCCATGGTGTATATGGGCCACATTTTCTTACAGCATTATATACTGCTTGAGGATATCTTTTCTTTTCTTGCCTTCTTTTACCTTCTCTTTCCGTCCCTGCCTTCATTCCTTTATCCTTTTCCCATTCCTCCATCCTTCTCTTCCTTCTGTCCTTTCATTCTTTTATTTACAGTATGTATCACTATTAGAATAAATGAAAATATATCAATGTCAAAGAGTATACCAATAAACTCATCGTTATATGAAAATATCATAAATTGAAAATGCATTTAATATATCTATCTTGCCAAACATTACAGCTTAGCCTGGCCTACCTTAAATATGCTCAGAAGACTTACATTAGCCTATAGGTGGGCAGAATCATGCAACACAGAGCCTATTTTATATTAAAGTGTTGAATATCCTAAGTAATTTATTGAATACTGTGCTGAAAGTGCAAAATAGAATGGTTGTATGGGTTCTTGAAGTAGTTTTTACTGAATGCATATTATTTCACACCATCTATAAATATATGTTTATTCAGAGTCAGCTTTTACTGTAAACTAAATCCACAAGGTGAATGGACAATTTGTGTACAGAAAACATCAATTATACTTCCAAAATGATGAGAGAGATAGAGATAGAGATAGAGATAGAGATAGAGATAGAGAGAGAGAGAGACTGAGAGAGAGAAAGAGAGAGAGAGGAGCTCCCTTCTGATTCTGTGTATGAAATAGAGTAATAGGCCTCCCATAATTAGGTCTTCAGGGCTTTATTTCTGAAGTTACATAAGTTTTATACACCTTTCATCTTGCAGGCCATTTAAAGTTATGCACAGAGGTTTAGAAGAGTCCTTAAGAGCAGAATATTTAAATCGTTTCTTAAATCCTGAGGCAGATCTTTAGGAATTTGTGGGTCTCCACAATGGGATGGTATTTCAGCATGCACTTCAGAGGCAAATTCAATTTGCCCTAGTCCTAAAATTTATTGCCAAATACGAATTTTCTTTCTATTTTTAAACTAGAGGAATCCGATGATACTTTTTCTGAACTAGAGGAATTTCATGACACTTTATCCTAGTAATCATGTCCATAACACCATGTTTCTGTAAACATCAACTAGTCAATCAATTTCTACGACAAAATGATTACTCACTCTTCTTGCCTCTTTGGAGATTCAGCTACTAATGAGTGGCTATGAAGACTGGCTGCAAGTAGAAAAGTAAGACAAAATTGTTGCTGTTGCAACTTATAAAGAGTGACAACCTCTGGTTTGGAGGTAAGTTATTGCAAAAACAAGAACAGTGTTTCAACTGTAAGCCAGACTTGGACTGATCGGTTAAATCAGTTTGAAAGTGATATGTTTTTCCCCTCATTTGAGAGTGACTTTGAATATTGGAAATGGAATTTAAGTGTCTATTCGCTGGAATGTAGTAGGAACAAAATAAAAGCTGTGAGACCAAAAGAGGGGTTCTGCATGCAAAGGCAATTGAACAAAAACTGAATTTGCCCAGCCCTTATGAATTACTTTTTATCATTGTGCAGTTTGTTATGACATTACAAAGTACTTGGACACTGTGTCATGTACTTTAGCTAATTAAAGCTCATTACACAGTAAATAGAAGATTGTGTGTTCTTTAGTACAGAATTCATATTAAACAAATCCTTGACTGTGGTTCCCTAGTGGTAACTCAGGTCCATTTGGTTCAGTTACCCATGAACAAGTTGGACTGTGTGCTACATACTGTGCCAGAGACCCTTTATACAACAATATCATGTGAGGAGAACATTATGACAAATTTGGAAAATTAAAAAAAAGCTAAATAATCTCTTGGGATCTGAAACCTATAATTTGCCAAAGGAATGCACAGTCAGAAAGAGACCATCTTAGGGAATATCCGTATGTGCTTGCATTAGCTTTGGTGACTATTTTGAATATTTGCTTTTCTGTCATTAGGTCATAGTAACTTTCCTTTTCCTCTTTTATGTTAATAGGCTTGCTCAAGATGTTAAAATAGTTTCAGTCAAGAAAAACTCAGCCATGTTAAGTTTTCAAACTAGGAACACACTGGCACCTTATTAAAATCCTATCTTTTATACCTAATGTAAAGGATGAGTTAATGGGTGCAGCACACCAACATGGCACATGTACACATATGTAACAAACCTGCACGTTGTGCACATGTACCCTAGAACTTAAAGTATAATAATAATAATAAAAAAAGACTTCAAAAAAAAAAGACAAGGTTTTATATCCAATAAAACTGTCAAGTATAAGAGGACACAATAAACTTAACAACATGAAAAAAAACCCTATCTTTTTTATAAAATAGATTGACTTCGATAAAAGGCGGATCTTTTGGATGATTTTTCTTTTCTGCCACCTAATTCACTCGCATCCAAAGGGTTGGAGTGACCATGATAAAATGTATCAGAATTTTTTAAAGATGAAAATAATACCATTCATTAGAACATTGTGTGCAATCTGGCTAAGTAAGCTACATATCCCTGACCTCATGGAAGGATGATAATGACTAGTTCAGGGATGTAAAAAAACTCTTAACAGAATGAAAAGTCATAAAAAACAAGCATGAAGGAAACCACTAACAATAGGAACCATTCCTGTGCTAAGTGAGTTACACACATCATTTCATTTAATCTTACGCACAAGTACATGGTATAGATGTTGTCCATATCTTCATTCTACTGATGACGATGGCGATCAGAGACATGTCCAGGTCACCTAGTTAACAAGGGACAGAGATGGCATTTGAACCAAGCCTTCTCTAAAGTCTGTGACCTTGACAATATTATGAAATATGCTTGATAGTGTATCTTGTAGCACAGAGGTAGCTCATGAAACAATGATATTTGCGGAGAGCAGATTTTTACAGGTGTGCATATAATCTCTATTATTCAAAGAACTCCACATTGCAATATGCTCTTTGGGGTCTCAAGTAGTTAATATCTTAATCAAGAAAATCTGAAAAGTTCTAGAAAATGTAAATTTTATTATAAGCTACAGAATGATAGGAGGAATTAGAATAGGGAAATCAGGTTGGGTTTGAAGTGATCCCGAGGAGAGTAATTATGTCTTGAAATTGAGAAAATGGACCTGAGATTC